CAGCTCACCTTAGCCTCGACCTCCTGGGCTCAGGCAGTCCTTCTGCCTTGCCCTCCCAAGAGGCTGGAACTACTGGTGCACATCACCATGTCTGACTTGTTTTTTTATCTTTGTAGCGATGATGTCTTGCTATGTTGTTTAGGCTGGCCTCAAACTCCTGGGCTCAAGTAGTCCTCTCTTCTCGGCCTCCCAAAGTGCTAGGATTACAGACATGAGCCACCACACCTGGCTCTTCTCAGTGTCTACTGTTAGATTGTCCATGTGTATTTGCCTTTTTTGTGTTTTCATGGGTACTTCCACTATTCATTGGGGTACCTCCAGTGGGGATCTGCATGTTGACTCTGTGTTGAATTGGACTCTGGCAGTCAGTATGACAGTCTAGCAGTCAATATGACAGTTACTTGTTGACTTTGGCTACCATTTAATAAAGAGCTCCTACTTTTAGATCTGAAATTTTTTGAGCTTTGAGAACAGTTGGCTTGGGCTCCCAATTGGGGAAATGAAAAATTATCAGGAAGTAAAATTAACCCCCCTTTCACTGAGCTGGAAGCAGTGTAGGTGGACTTGTTTTTCTGAACTGCAGAGTTTAGAAAGATAGGTTTTAATTTCTCTTCTTAGTGCAGGTTTGAGAAATGTAATCCCAGAAGCTGCTTGGTTTCTACAATAAGCTATCCAGCCCACCATGTAGAAACCTGCCACAGATTGATGTTAAGGAGACCATAATAGGCATGCAGTAACTGTTTGTAACCAGGTGGTGGCTGTTGTGTAATACAAATAGCATTTCTGATGAGGTAGTGTGGTTATACAATTTTGTTCAGCCCATGCAGGTTATAAAAGCCGAAATTCTTTCAGCACCTGAAAGCGTCTCATGCTGAGCACCAGGACAGTCACAGTCTTGCACAGATGCCAGCCCAGAAGGTTGGGTGAGTCAATGATTAGAGGATATCTTTGGGGGTAGGATGAGGTTTTGCTCCGAAGGTAAGACCATTCTTTGGTACAAAAGCTGTGCTTTGGGAAATTAATTTGGAGGCTGCACAGACTGATTCTGTGTGTGGCTGTTTCCATGTATGTGTCTGAGTGTGTCCGTTATCTATGACCATGTGTCCGATTTTCTGCATGTATGCCTGTTTCTGCTTGTGTGTGTCTGTGCGTGTGACTGAAACTGTGTCTGTGTAGATGGGTGTTTTTCTGCATGTGTCTGTTTCTGCTTGTATGTGTCTGTTCGTGTGACCGGAACTGTCTGTGTAGATGGGTGTTTTTCTGCATGTGTGTCTGTTTCTGCTTGTGTGTGTCTGTGTGTGTGAGTGTAACTGTGTCTGGGTAGATGGGTTTTTTCTGCATGTATGTGTGTCCATTTATGCTTCTGTGTGTGCCTGTACATGTGACTGTAACTGTGTGAGGAGCCTATGGCTCAAGTTCTACCAACTGGGTTACTAGAAAATCTCCAAAGAGTCTCTCAGTGCTGTCAGATGCTATTTAATTATTAATAATGGAGCATTAACGTTTGTGCAACTCTTAGAAGGCAGGGCCCTTCATTAATATGGAAGAAAGAGTAGCAATAGATCTGCAGCAATTAAAATGTCAGATTCTCTGTTGTTCAGATACTTATTTACTTTATTTTCAGAGTCAAGTCCAGTCCCAGTACTCCCAAAACTCTGTGTTCTTTCATGTTTTTCTTCATGTAGAGTTTAAGGAGTTCAATGAAAAGTGGGAAGCAAAAAGGAATATGGGTGAAACACAAGCAAAAAGGAATATAGGTGAAACAAACCTTATGGAGAACTGGTGTCCCTTTTATAGCTGCTGAACGCATATATCTTTTAAGGTTTTTGGGTTATAAAGATGTCAGATTTAGACACCAGAAAAAAAGCAAGACATTTGTGGCATATAATTATAAGTGACTGCAGTCTTTACATTTAGTGAATATATATATATAGAGAGAAAGAGTTGGAGACTCACTCTGTTGCCCAGACTGCAGTGCAGTGGCATACTCATGGCCACCCCAGCATCAACCTACTGGGCTCTAGCGATTCTTCCACCTCAGCCTACCAAGTAGCTGGAACTGTAGGCGTGTGCTACCACACCTGGCTAATTTTTTATTTATTGTAAAGAAGAGATCTCACCAAGTTACCAGGGCTGGTCTTGAACCATGGGCTCAAGCCATCCACTCACCTTGGCTCCCAGAGTGCTGGGATTACAGGCTGAGCCACTGAGCCTGGCCTAGTAAATATATATATATATATATTTTTTTTTTGAGTTGGAGTCTCCCTCTGTCACCCAGACTGGAGTGCAGTGGCCGCTCCCGGCCACCACAGCCTCGACCTGCTGGGCTCCAGCAATCCTTCTGCCTCAGCCTTCCCAGTAGCCGGAATTACAGGCATGTGCTACCACGCCTGGCTGATTTTTTGATTTATTGTAGAGATGAGGTCTCGCTGCCCAGGCAGGTCTCGAACCTGCGGGTTCAGGCAACCCATTCACCTCAGCCTCCCAAAGGCGCGGGATTACAGGCTGAGCCACCAAGCCCGGCTTAGTAAATATATTTTTAATGAATTTTTTAGGAGAGACCTGCTCCTTTGCAGAAAGAAAAAAATATATAACAATACTCAAAGGCATGGAATTGGGCTCCTGTTTACTGAAGGTCAGGGGCAGCTTTGCTGTGATTTTGACTGCCGTGTACTTTGTGTGTTCACCTGTGTCCCAGCCCTTGGTAATTGTGCTGCAGTTTAGGCAAACCCACTCTTCAGCCGTTAGGTAATCCATTAGGTAATCCATCAGGGCAGGCGAAGTTTCAGAACTCCTTTGTCTTGGGAGAGTGCCTGGAGGACGAGACAGAGCTCTTGGTAAACTGGACTAGGAGGCAACTGGAGGTGGGGGTAGGGATGAGGATATTGCAGAAGAGATTCGTGGATGAAATGTCTTCTGGACTGGAGGAAGGAAGCAGGTGACTGAGAGGACCAAGCAGATGTGCCAAAGTCCAGCAAACTGAGCAGGTAAACTGGGCAGTTGGGGAATAAGGGCAGCGTGGAGTTGGACTTCTTTCTGCAGATGAGAGAAGAAAATTTGGCTTTGGCCCATGTGGCACAAGGAAAGCCTGAGGGCATTCCAAAGAGGAATAGTGTGGTCAGAAGAGCAGATCGGAGAGAGGGCTAGCAAGTGCTTTGAGCTTGAGGCGAGAGCATGAATGGCTCTTCAAGATGTTTCTTCTGGCACAGAGGCTTCTGTCAGCAGGGACAGCTTGGCTACAGTAGCTGAGGGTGACTGCTTAAGCTTCCTCTTCAGGAGAGAAGGTGGGAGTCATTGGCTGTGCTGGAAAGGGAGGATGGAGTGGAGCAAGGAGCTCGGGCACATTGGGGCAGAGTCACCAGGACAGAGCCGTCTCCTGGAGTTCCCTTAGCCCCCAAGGTGGTTGTACTAGAGGGCGGAAGCATCACAGGACAAAGGGCATGGAGACCTGGAAGAGGAGAGAGTTTTCCTTCCATTCTCTCTGCCTGTTACCTGGGGTATTCCTTGGGTCCCTCCAACACGACCTGTGGGCGACCTCTTGGGCCTTTACTGGCCTTTCTTCAGAGCCTCGTTCTCTGTCAGCCTGGCAGGCAGTGCAAGTCACGTTTGTGTTCTCAGTGATTGCCGCGTTCACCACTCTTGATCTGGGATTTTGTCCAAGGGTTAATTAACCTCTCTGTGGCCCACTTCCTCATCTGTAAGATGGAGATAACAACCCCTCCCAGAATCTTTGTAAGGGTTAAGCAAAATCATGTGTGTCTCTCTGACTTGAATAGTCAGTTCATTATGCACGTGTTTTTATCTTGTTGTCAACATTCCATGTAAAAGGAGGTTTTCAGAGGCTCCTGTGATGACTGATTAATATATTTTAAATTGTGTTTAAATAAAAAAACTCTATGTGTGCAAGAAAGTGATGTGTGAAATCCCACAGTGGAAATAAATGAGATAAACCTCATCTTAGTTCTGCTTTCTTTTTTTTTCTTTTGAGTTGGAGTCTCACTATGTCGCCCAGACTGGAGTGCAGTGGCCGCTCCCGGCCACCGCACCCTTGACCTGCTGGGCTCCGGCGATCCTTCTGCTCAGCCTTCCAAGTAGCTGGAACTACAGGCACACGCTACCACACCCGGCTAATTTTTTTTTGATTTATTGTAGAGATGAGGTCTCGCTGCCCAGGTGGGTCTCGAACCCGCGGGCTCAGGCAATCCACTCACCTCAGCCTCCCAAAGGTGCAGGATTACAGGCTGAGCCACCGAGCCCGGCTTAGTTCTGCTTTCATTTTCTCAAATATACACTAGCATTTAAATTGTGTCACACAGGTTGCACCTTTTGCTATGCTCCCTTTCCCTTTCCCAGCCAGAAGAGTTCCCTGAATGATCTAGAGTGCCGGAATTAGGTTTTTATTTTGTTTCTTGGCCCAGGGGAGCATGTTTAAGTTTCCCCAAATATCTGAATGTCTTTGTCATACCATACACAGTTCCTGCTACCCTTCCGTCCTGGTGGGGATCTGGACCAAGCGGCCACGAGCTGTGGAAACACAAAAGGGACAGCCTACCCAGGAATGCTTCTCGGAGCAAGAGGCCTCTTGTGCTCAGACCTGGGGACTAGAGGCCAGTGTGGTCAGGGCGGGTGGCACTGGGTGCCCAGGGGAAATGGCTAAGATGATGAGTTTTAGGAAGACCTTGTTAGAATTTTATTTAAATCAAGTGTAGGGAAGAGTTTTTGCTGGAAGATATCAGGTACAGTAGACACTGCTGCATCTGTGACACACAACTTTAGGCTAGAAATAAAGGTTGCTGATGACTTGGCGGCTTAAAGCCCTCAAGCAAATGAAACATCCGCTGCTTGAACTTCTGCAGACATTCATCCCTCCCCTAACCAAGCCATCAGATGAATCGATGTCTTGTCGTCTGGATAACGTGACCATCAATTCTGATGGCTCAGGTGTAAACTGATGTCAGCAGAACAGCCCATCTCAGGCTGGATTTAGGAGCTTTCTTAGGCTTTAGTTTGGGACCAGAGCTTGTTCTGCGCCAGGGATTCTTAGACCACATCTTAAGACAGACTGGGTCTTCTGCAGGCAAGGTCTGTTCTTTGACGTCTTGTTTCATTCTTTCAGTTGTGCATTTTGCTTGATACTCCGTAAAATATTTGCTTTCAGTTAGGAATGATCCTCTCCATCCACCTCACTCCGTGGTTGTTTCAGGAACATTTGCCATGTTTATCCAGCAGTTGTATGTCCTGTGGTCCACTGGTGAGGACCTGAGAACCCATTTTCAGATGATTTCTAACTAGTCCAGCAATATTTGTTCAGGGCCCTTTTCTTCCAACTTCGGAGCAGGGTTGTTGGCATGGGGGTGCCTCACGGGCCATGGGGGTGCCTCACGGGCCATGAGGGTGCCTCACGGACCCTGAGAATGTGGCCTCTAAGGGACCGGTCCTCCTGGGGCTCCTGCAGATAGAACCTGGTTTCTTTTTTTTTTTTGAGTTGGGGGTCTCACTGTTGCCCAGACTGGAGTGCAGTGGCCGCTCCTGGCCACAGCAGCCTCGACCTGCTGGGCTCCGGCGATCCTTCCACCTCAGCCTTCCAAGTAACTGGAACTACAGGCGCGCGCTACCACGCCCGGCTAATTTTTTGATTTATTGTAGAGATGAGGTCTCACCAAGTTGCCCAGGTGGGTCTCGAACCCGCGGGCTCAGGCAATCCACTCACCTCAGCCTCCCAAAGGCGCAGGATTACAGGCTGAGCCACCAAGCCTGGCTAGAAGTCCAGGTTTTATTCAGCTTCTTTTAAAAAAATTCTTCCTCTTTTAGGAGAGCAAATCCACAAACCAAGGTAGTGACAGAAGGCTGAGACAGCTCACTGGGGTACAACAGCGGGTCCCTTGATGGCAGTCACTGGGGGTAGTATGTTAGGTCTCTGATAGATTATTGTAATTAATGATAAAGAAGGGCCACCCTTATGCTATGATTCCTGGTGTCTCTCCATTGCTGTGGGGGAATGTTAAGATATTTGGTTACTAGTGCCATCATCTGTCCCACTTTCTCACTTTGGCACATTTTTTTCTCTGGATATGTTAGTTTAAGCTCAGCAAATAATCCGATTTAAATTGGGCACTAGGAACATGCCTCTTATGTCACCTTGACACTCTGGTTTACCCTATCTTGTGAGTTCTCTGAAGTTGGTTTCTGTTCTTGTTATGTTCAATTTTATTGTTTTCAAAATTCAGGTCAAGATCCACTAAGTTAATTTCATGACCCCTCTAGTGGGTTCTGACTTGCCATTTGTAAAATAAGAGCAAGAGTTCTTAAAGTGTTTTGGAGAAGATTGTGTATCGGATAGTTGAGTTTCTTCAGTTACACCCTGTAAGCATAGTTGTCATCACAAGATCAGACACTTACCATTATTTACAGTTTCATTCCTTGCTGCCTAGAACTTTATTTTTAATTTTTGAGTTGGAGTCTCACTCTGTCAACCAGGCTACAGTGCAGTGGCACGCTCACGGCCACTGAAGTCTCAACCAGCTGGGCTCAGGCGATCCTTCCGCCTCAGTCTTCCAAGTAAGTAGCTGGAACTACAGGCATGCACCATCATGCCCAGCTTGCCTAGAATTTTAAGTGGAATAATTATAGCAAGAATCAGCATCAGAATTGCAGACTTCTTAAAGCAGGATTCTATGTATTGGGTAACCTGTTATTTCATTCAAAGGGAGTTGATCATATATAAGTTGAGGATATTTGTCCTATCAGTCTTTTTTCTCTTGGATTAAAAGCATTTAGGTCAGACGTTAACATTTAGCAGAGTTTAATGGGGCAGCCAGTTTGAGTATAATCCCCTTATGATAGGATTCAAGTAGAGAGCTGCAGATTGGCTTTTATTTTATTTTTAAATTTTATTTTATTACAGAGATGTGGAGTACACATGAGGATTGTTACATAAGCAGGCTGCTTACAGGTACAGTTTGGGCTTCTAACTGGCCCTCATTCCCCCTGGTAGTGAACCAGGTATAGATTGACTTTTAAAATGTGCTTTCTCATTGAACCTAGCCGGCCCTGAAAGCGCTTGTTTGTATCTTGGTAAGGACTAGGGTAGCATTGGCAGGTTGAGGTTTTGAGTGTCTTTATCCCAAGTCTTCCTTCCTAATTATACTCTTCCCCTGTCTCGGTAGGCTTATACAAGTGGAGAAAATAGCTTTATGCCAGTCCGCATTGCCCATCCTGAGATGTGGGTGATCTGAAGACCACTAGCATGAGAATATTTGTACCTTTGTTTAAAATGTAGGTACCCAATCCCCAAGGCAGGTCTACAGAATCAGAATTTGAGGAGGGGACTTTTTTTTTTTTTAAGTTGGTGGGATTATAGGAGTTTTTGAATTTTTTCTTCTAAAATCAACTTTATTGAGAGAGAGTTTACATACAGTATATATATCCAGTTGGGCCACTAGAATCACAATCAAAATATAGCCCATTTCTGTCACTCCAAAGCCTCCTCTTCTCCCCTGGTAGCCCCTCCCTCCCTCCATTTCTGTCCTAGGTAACTACTATGCGTTAGTTTTACCTTTTGAGAATCAGACAGCATGTCTTGTGTCTGGCTTCTTTAACTCAACGAAATAGCCTTGAGAGCCTTCCATGCTACTAGGTATATCAGTAGTTGCTGCCCTGTTTATTGCTGACTAGTATTCCTTTGGATGGATGTACCATGATGGATCTTTGGATGTTTCCACTTTTGGGCTGTAATGAATAAAACGGCTTTAAATTTTTTTGTGTAGAAGAAATCTGTGGTTTAAATAAGCTTTCCAAGTGAGTCAGAAAGCGCATGAACTATTAATTTTTTTTTTTTTTTTTTTTTGAGTTGGAGTCTCACTCTGTCGCCCAGACTGGAGTGCAGTGGCCGCTCCTGGCCACCGCAGCTTCGACCTGCTGGGCTCCAGCGATCCTTCCACCTCAGCCTTCCAAGTGACCGGAATTACAGGCATGCGCTACCAAGCCC